TCCTGCATTCCCCCACTCCCCTGTGCTTTTCTATGTCTATTTTTTGGCTAACTTTTCTTTGCCACAAATCAATCTGTTCGTAGTCGACTCCCAGTTAATGAACTGCCGTGGGCCTTGGACCGCCAGACTCCCAATCTCGGTGCGTTTTGATGCGTTCGATGGACTTCATTTCCACGTATTTGGCCCGACTGGAGGGGGGTGGGAGAGGGGAGAGGAGAGGGGAGAGGAATTTCGTGTTTATGGCCAGGTTGTTTTCACCGGCCACAAAAACGCTTATCGATGGATGAGATCTCGCTGTGCGAGACTTGTAAATATTTATGATTATTTTGTAGAAATATTTTTGCTGTATTTTGGTTTTGGACAAGAGAAACGGGTTTACCGCCCCAACCCCTTTCCCCCTCCCGCGCCATGTGGGGGCCTTGGGAGATGTGCGAAAATGTTTTGAACACCTCTGGGGCGGCGGGTTGTGGGAAGAAGCCCCTGGAGCTGCCCCTGCAACCAATCCTTTATGATGTGTGTGTGTTTCAGTGTGTGTGCTGAAATAATAAATCTGAAGAAAAGTTTCCACGTTTTACCCTTACTCTTGTTGTATGTACACGGTACTTGAAGATGTAAGTGAATGATGCATTTATGTACATAAATATGTATTATGTAAAAGTAATGTAAAGTAAAATCAGTAACCACAAAAAAGTAAATATATTTCTTGCACATATTTAATTTATTTCAATTTATCTATGGGTGTTGTGTGTTCCTTTTTGATATGAAAATTTGCTGAAATTGTGTTTCCTTCTTTAGGAATTTATTAACTGAAAAGACTGCCATAACCAGGGTATCTTCAGGTCTGTATTCCTTACGAATTGAACGCCTTTTTCTTATGTAAACGAAACCCTTCGCACAGGCAGGACCTTCGTTTTGTGGTAGTTACCCTCACGAGAACGTTTAGGCAAAGGCTTGGGTAAATATTTAAACTGGTTTTCGATTGTTTTCGCAAAATCGTTGCAGTTGGTCAAACACGTGTTTGAGATAATTTAATTAAATTTACTTGGCGTTTTTTTTCATGCCGCTGCCTCGTGCCACGTGCCCAAGCACTGCCTCTAGCCGCTTTTTGTGCTCAAGTGGCAAACACTTGAGCACTTGCTTGCTTGTCCTAGTCCCGGGCCCGAACCCTGCCGCTGCTCGAGTTCAATCTGTGTTCAAATTGTGGCAAGTGCAGCGCCACTCGGCTTAAGCTTGCACAGACTGAAAGGGGGGGGGCGGAGGAACTGATAGATTTCCTAGGAACTGAGAACTTTGGTGGTCTCTGCAGCAGACAATGCAACTGTCAGAGATCTCTGCCGATGGATCTGGTGGCATCTGTCGCTGTCGGTCCGCTGAGACCTTCCTTGGAGAGTGTACGGCATTCCATTCCAGCGAATCAATGACAATGATGACTCGTGGAAATCCAGTGAAGGAACTGAAACTAAATATGATTTATCTTCACGGTGTGCTCACGGAGTCACTTCCTCCACCCTCTCATTAGTGCGGGCCCGACTAATTTGCATAAGTGTCCTGCCTGGCCCCAGGACGAATACAAACTCGAGACGTGTACCCATGGAGGGAACGAACACACTAATTAAAATGTTCGCGCCTCAAATTTCCCTCTCGTCGCCTTATTTATGGCTCACTGGGTTCCGGGTTCCGGGTCCCGGGTCCTGTGAATGTCTTGCATATGGACGAAGAAATATGTAAGTGCTCGGGGCGTCGTCCCTACATTCGGTTTCCTATTCTTTTTTTTTTTTTTCTTTTTTGTTTACGAGTGACAAATGAGACATTTACATGCTGCATTCCCAATGAATATTAAAATTATTCATGGTTTCTGCTGGCAGGAAATGCTTGCTAATGGATACGTCAGATCCAGATGCTCAGCCAATAAGGGGGCAAAGCTGCTCTTCACTTTTGAGTATAATCTTGAGTTAATTTCTAATATGCTCATCCACTTGTTGTTTCACATCTCCCCAACCTGGCGCCGCCCAAGAGCAAGTTTGTTTTTGTCAAAAGTCAATCCGGCGACTAATTGACACGCACAATTGTAATTGCAATGATGACACTTGCTCTGCCACTTCCATCCCCTGCCCAAGCCCTCTCCTCACTAATCCCATAAGCCGCTGCGCACCACAGAAATGACGAGCGGCAGGGGCGAGGAGCAGCAAGTTATTTGGCTTTCGGCTAGTGGATGTCCATGTAAATCCAATTGAAAGCAATTTGAATCAAATTGAAAGCCCAAACCAACGTCTGACGCAGAACAAACAATCGGGCGGGGGGATGTGGAGTGGAGTGCTGGGGTGGGGGGTGGAGAAGCGGCTGCCCGGGGTCAAAGGGGTAGAGCTGTGACAGCTGTCGCGGCCCGAGAAACTCCTCCGAGAATTGGGCGCGATAAAAGGGGGTTAATCGAACACGCGGATCATAGAATTTTCCTCACCTTTTGCTGGAAAAAGAAAATTGGGTGAATGGGTGAAGGAGGGGGTGAGGTAGGTAGGGGAATTTCCTTTAGGGTATTTTGGTTAATTAGCGATGTCTGGGGACATCTTCTGTTTGCCTTTTGGCTTTGATTTAAACATAAAATGTTGTGCCGCTCCGTTCCCAGAACCTGTCCTATGGGGAAATGTTCCTTAAAAATAGACTAAACAGAGAGAGAATTTTCTTTGCACTTGCAAAAGGGACTGAGGTTACGCGCCTTGTCAAAAGTTAATGTGATTACCACGCCCCACAAATTAATTCATAGAAAACTCAAACAAACTCCGTCTCTCCGCCTCTCTCTCTCTCTCTCTCTCTCTCGCCTGTGGTCCCTCTGCTTCGGTCACAGGCAGAAACCGCAAATGCGGAAAATGCAAATTGTTTTTCAACCGAACCCAGAAACGCAGCAACGGAACCCAACCCAAAACCCGACTGTTTTCTCCTAACGATGCGTGAACATTCTGTGGGCGTTTTCGGTAACTAATCCGACTGAAAGAGTGGTGTGGGGGAAGGCAGGGAGAGACTGTAGGTCCTCGAGTGTGTTTGACAACTAACTCAAAGAAATTTAAGGGATTCGTATGAATGTTCAATGCGAATAATGTGCCAAAGTCAGAAGGGGTTAAACCCAAAATGATGACTAATCAACTCTGAAGGGCAAACAAAGCGAACAGGAATGGAAAGGAAAGTCCTCATACAGGACCGAAAGGGGTACGGTAACCGTTAGGCCAAGGAAATCGTTACACGCAATAAAGAGTAAAAGAAAATCTTCATGGTGTAAGCAATAATTTCATTTTATTTTTATTTTGCTACAAACATTGCCGTTTGAGCGTTAACTACACCCATTTTAAAGCCACGCCCACTGATGAAGTTTCGTTAAACATTTCTTTGGAGTACTTAAAATGTACCTGCATATTTTGAAACTTATATCCATCATAGTTGCAAAGTTATGAATCAAAGTTCTTTGAGAACCAGAGCAACTTTGCACCGCCGCCAGACACACAGTTTGAATTTCAAACTGTCGCTGCGTTGAAGCACTGCTTTCCACTGCTTTGCCGACTTGATATGGGAAAAAGAGAGAACGATTTTGATTGGTCAAAAATGTCATTGGTCCAGAGGCGAACAACAATTTGGTTTCACTTTCATGCTCTTATCCTCAGATTAATAACTTAAGCTGTTTAATTGCTAATGTTAGGATGGAGTTGAGAATCAGCATTGGAGTTGTTATTGAATCTCGACCACGTCAAGTGCTGGCTGTTCCTAAATTGTATTGATTGAGGTCTGGTCTACGAGGAATGTGACTAGCAATTTGGTTGTCAACTCTTCAAGCTTGCCCTTCCTCTCACGCTCCCATCTAACTGGCATCCCAAAAGGTTCCAGGGAATAGGCAGATTGGATCCTGGGAATATGTGTAACCTCTCAATAGAGCAGGGGCTCCTAGTCTGAGGTCTTCCTGTTCGTGTCCCTGTCGGCTTCAACCTTTGCCTCTGCTGCTGCTGCTCCACACTCACGCCCCCAACTGGGGACGGGCATGGCACTGAGTACGGTCCAATTCACAGCGTTCCAAAGTCCCAAGGCTGGAAATGTTTCCACCAACCCACAACCACTTGCTGTGTCTCGCTCTCTCTCTCTCAGTCTCACACACTGGATTGTGTCTGTATCTTGCCTGCCTGCTCTGTGTCTCATCTCTCTCGCTCTTTATAGGTCTCTCTCCCTCTCTCTCTGGATCTGGTTGTCGTCGTCGTCGTCTCCTTCGTTGTCGGTGGATGGTTTTGTTGCTGACAGTTCGGCTCTCCACGGGACGCAACGACGACGATGTGGTGTCGTTTTCCACTCCCAGCGATAGGTTAGATTTTCCATTCGTTGCCTGCCCGCCTCTCAGGCTTTTGCTTATTGTTACCGACCCACCGACCGACCGACCGACCGACCGCCATTGCCACCCCCTCGGAACTCTCATGCGGCGCAGGCTCGTTTCGTTTCCATTTTCAAAGCATTTGGTATCGTTGGTCGTTTGGTCGCTTTTCCCGCTGCTGCGGCAACTGCGCAGAGCAGAGCGCTGCGATGCGATGCGATGCGACGCGACGCGACGCTGTGTGGCAAGCAAGAGCATCGCTGGCAGTCGCTGTGGACTGGACGAGGATTCAGTTGGGGTTTAACAGTCACTCGGGACGGTAGCGCGCGCCGCTTAAAACTTGTTGCGAGACCAATTCTCCGAAAATAAATCCCAAATTCTCTGCGGTGCATTGGCAGCACACACATACACACACCCATAAATATTCACCCACACTCAGTACGGGATTTGGATTTAGTGCGTGTTGTTCGGTCGCGTTCGTTCTGTGCAGTTTTTGTGACCCAAACCAATCCCATTGATTGACATCTCCAGAGACATCCATCCAACCCAGAGAAGCGGATCCCGAGTCCGCAATCGAAGGAAGGAAAACGAATCAGTGTGGATCCAGTTCACAACAGGAAGGGCCGATCCCATTCCCCAATTGAGAGGAACGAAGCAGAAGAGCCACCAAAACGGCCGCCACAATTGCCAGTGCCTCAGCAGCCGCCGCAGCTGGTGCCGTGCCCCTACCGTACGCCGATCTCCATCAGCATCAGCATCAGCATCCGCATTCGCATACGCATCCGCACCATACGCACCACCACTTTGCTAGCACAGCTCCCCTGACCAGCACCGATAGCTTCAAGCTGCGTTCCGAGGAACCGGTGCCGGGCTTTAGCTCGGCCTCCCCCTGGCCCACGCTCGAGCTGGGGATGGAGTGGGGACGCAAGCTCTACCCTACCGCCGGGCCCCGGTCCGCCGGCGGCCTAATGTTCGGCCTGCCGCCCTCAGCCGCCGACATGAACCAGCCGCGTGGCCCCATGACCTCGCTCAAGGAGGAGCCGCTGGGCGGACGCTGGGCCATGCAGCCAGTCGTCGATCAGACCAAGTAAGTGAATGCTCAAGACTGGTGACAGGCAGCAGAGAGCTGCCCAAGGTGCCAAGGTGTGTCCAAAGTGAAGATCACAATTTATGGTGATCTTTCAAGTGTTGAGAATGTGGCATGCCACGAACATGAATGCCAAGAGCAGATTCGGAATTAAAATTCGTTTCAGAAACTAAATTGTTTAACAATTAATAATTGGCCAATTGCACAAACAAAAATTAATTTAAATTGCGTTTTCTTCGAGTGAATTTCGGTTTCTTTCATTGAGTTTATTTTCGAATTTGTATTATTTTTGATAGAGAAAATTAATGATAATCCCACCTGCAGTTTAATATAAATCAGAATCCATCTTAGCTTTTGTTTTGTGAACAGTTGCGGAACAATTCCTAAGAGTTTCTCGAACTAGCAAAATAAATTCAGAAATGCATTCCTCTCTCATCCCTGCCCCAACAAGGCCATTAATCCCCGCTCTAATCTCTCCGCTTATCGTTAACCAATAATCTCCAATGGTGGGCGAACATTGTGGGCAACAATGTTGCAGCAACAAACGTTTACAAACAGAAGTCTCCAAAAACCTAAAAAGAAAAAAACAACAAAAAAACGTTTGTTTACTTTTAGCCAAAAGCCGGCAGTGGCGGCGGCGACGGCGACGGCATCGTGTGTCCGAGCAATATGAGGGCCCCCTTGGGGTTGCGCTTCAACCGTTGGGGGCAGGGGTATTTTTATGGCCTTTCCCCGTGCCAGCCCTCGACCCAGAACTAAGCAGATGAACCCCCAAAAAGCAAGCGGCAGCACAGACAGGCGAGTCTCACTCGAAAAATCTCACTCAAAGCTGTTTTCGGGGGGACTTTACTTACGGACTTACGCACTTTTTCCTGCGACGCTTGACTTTCGATGGTAGCAAGTTTGGGTTGGCAGAAGGGCGCGGGGGATGCGACGCTCGGTGCTCCGTTAAACTTTTGTGGGCTTTTTGTGCGCTGAGTGTGTGTGTGTGTGTGTGTGTGTGAGAGCACGCTCAAAGGGATGTTCAGCTCTCCCCTTGTTGCTGTTTCTTTGACTTACACTTTCGCTTTCGTCCTTGCCTTTGCCTTTGCCTTTCCTTGCCTTCTTCTCAATGAATTGAATTAGAAGAAGTTGTCGCTCTCTCTCGCTCAAAGCCAGCGGGGGTTTGCCGCTTGGTGTGCTGAAAGAGCTTTTGGCCCTGTTTGTTTAGTTGCGTTTGAGATGTTTCTGGCGTGAGATGTTCGCGCCGAGAAGAAGTGCGCGAGTTGCCCAAATCGAAAGCGAGATGACAGCGGGCTTTGGCCATTCAGCGGCGGCAAATCAACAATCACACACACATACACACGCACATTCCCATTCCCATTCCCAACACAATCACAATCAGACGCATAATCACACTCTCAGTCAGAGCCAGACACAAACTCAGAGTCAAACGCTGCAGCTAAATCTTAATCAGGATCCAAATCCAAAAACAATGCGCTGTGAAACGAGGTAAAGAGTGAACCATAGAAATCAGAAAGAATATGTGAAAGAGTGAGAATTAATAAACCGAAAAGTGTGGGGTAAAGAGTTGTACGAGAGAGCCCAAACAATGCCTTAAATACCCACAAATGTCCAGCTTAAAGAACACAATAAATATTTAATAAGCTCCCCAGAATGTATTCCCACAACCCCCATACAACCCCAATCCATTTTGAGCTGCGGATAATCTCAACTTTTGATTACATTTAGCACTTATTTTGGTCACTTTTTGTGTGGCCCAACTTTTGCGACACAAATAAATCTCACAGCTTCCGATAATTGTTCAATGTGGCACAAGCAAGCCCAATTTATTTATGCACTTATCTATCCATCTGGTTATGGATATGTGCACACATGCATGTGGCACTGCAGCAAGAACTTGTTTGTGGCCCCAACACAGGGGCACAGAAGCGTGCGGCTGCTCGTAAATCAAGAACATATTTTTGGGGAAATTTATTTCAACAAAGATTGTGGCAGAGACGCACACAAGACACACAAGTGCAAGTGGCAACTCCTGCAGATTGCAGTTGCAGTGCCGTCAAGGACCCAAAAGGTGTCCTTAAACAGCGAGAGAGCGAGAGCACACAAATCAGGTGTGTGGGTGGATAAATAAAGTTGCCTTTTTAGAGTCGGCATCGTCGGCATCGTCGGCTTGTGTGGAAAGCAGGTTCTTTTTTTCCACGTGCCTGGCCGACAATAGACAAAACGTGACTACCATCATCCACCACCGCCTCCCACAGGACTAGTGCCTGGATGGTCACCTGGGCATCGATTTGCGACAATTAAATGTTGGCATAATAAAATCAACAGCAAAACGGCCACAAAAATGCCATCTCCCTCAGTCCCAGTCCCTGTCCCTGTTCGTCCTCTCTCTGTTTCCGTTTCTATTGCCACTCCCTGTCTCTGCCTCTCCCTCTCCCTCTCTCTTTCTTCCTCTGTGTGGCTTGCAAATTGGCGGCAAGTGCAAACAAAGTGAGCTGGCAAACTGCCGCAGAACGATTTTCCACAATTTCCCGCATTCAACCGAGCTGAAAAGTCAACAGCAGGGCCAAAAAGAAACAAAAAAAAATAAAAAAGAAAGCGATTCAGGAAGCCAAAAGGTAGGAGCAGGAACAGGAGCCGAGTGGGTGGGGGTACGGTACAAGTTTTTTATTTGTCAGGATGTACTCGACATTATTCAGCTGTTCATTTTTCGAACACACTCCAGGCCTGGTGCTGGTGCTGGTGCTGCCATAACAATAACCTTTCACCAGAATGTAACATGTCTGGCATTTATATGTCCTTCGCCCCCGCCTTGCCACACAGGCAGAGGTAACTGCTCTTTGGCATTGGAAATCGCATTGAACTCGCTCGCATTGTCGCTTCCCCAGTTATTTGATGGTCTCTTAATTTGATATCAGCCTCTTGTTTGAAACCAACTGAAATGTTTTACTTTCCACCGCAAATTGTGTGGCACTGTTAGGGAAATTGATCAATAATAATAAATTAAATTCCACTCGGATTAAAGTAGATCTGCATGGTGAGAGGTTTTATTTCCACTACTTCCCTTAGTTGTTGTTACAATCCTTACCTAATCAATTATACAGATATACCTTTTAAACGATAATAAATCTCATATCCATACTGCAAGTTCTTTTGAATAGTTACTCATGAAATTGTCAATCGATTCCTTTGGGGCAGAACAGAACTACTCGTGTGACAGTATATCTCATTGCTCACCGATTCTGTGACGGTGACGGGAGTGGGGAGCCTCTATCATTAGCTGATGGCTGGCATTATCCTTTGGCAAATGTGTATATAATTGCAGGGCCCCCGAGTCAGTTGGGTAGCGGCCGGGACATGCGGCGCTGCTCCTTGACATTGCCTGAGCAAATAGCAGGGGCGCAAAAGTAGTACAGAAAGTATACAGAAAATCTGATAAAATCAGCATTTTCTAAATTAAATTGTTCGTTATGCATACGGAAGCGAGCTAAAAGAGCAGCCGGGCCAAGGATCACGAAAAGGCAAAGGCACTGGCACAGGGGTGGCCGACAGGACCCTATCCCGACTGCCAGACTGCCACTGCCACTTCGCTGTAATTGTCCGCTGACAGGCGGGGCTCTAGCAGCTCTCTCTGACATTTAGCATACAGATATGTACATATGACTGTGTGCGGGGGAGGACCTGGACAAGGACAAGCCTTTATGCCGTCTGCGGCCACGATGTCCACGTGTCCGGATAATTGCCCAGTGTCTGCTTGGCCCACATACAAATGTAAGCAAGGACTCTGGGAGTATATCAACTATTTCAAGTGGAGGGTCCTGCCATACATCAGGATTATTGTGTCACGTTGATGTTGCTGTTGATGTTGCTGTTGCTTATGCGCTTTTAATGATAGTTGTCACTGGAACAACTAGCCTTGCTGGACAAAGGACTGAAGGACTGAAGGACTGGCTGCTGTTAATTGAGTTGGCTGCCCCGCAATTCCTCTTACTCTTAGGCCAATTATGGCCTATGTTTACCCAACTAATGTCATAATTACTGTCCGAAATTTGACTAATTTTTCCCACTCTCTCCTCGTGTTTACTGTTCTTGCAGCTTGGGCATTGGCCGCGCCCACTTTGAGAAGCAGCCGCCCAGCAATTTGCGCAAGTCGAACTTCTTTCACTTTGTGATCGCCCTCTACGATCGCGCCGGACAACCCATCGAGATCGAGCGCACCGCCTTCATTGGGTTCATCGAGAAGGACTCGGAATCGGATGCCACCAAAACGAACAATGGGATCCAGTATCGCCTGCAGTTGCTTTATGCGAATGGTAAGTGTTGTGGGGCAAAGGGATTTGGAGTGTGTCTTCCATGACATTCAGCTTGGTTTTACTTCTGATATTTTTTCAGGTGCACGCCAGGAGCAGGACATATTCGTGCGGCTGATCGATTCCGTGACCAAACAGGTGAGTCAAAGAAAGAGTTTTAGCAGCAAAAGAACTCCAGCGAGCCCTTCTATTTACGATGATGCTACAAAAGGCACTTCAATAAATGAAAAACTGTTGGGTTATCCATTGAGCAATGGAAAAATGGCCAGGGGAGTGCTGCAAGTTAGCGGCTGGCAAAGTTAACCAAGCTATGAAAAACGAATTCCTTCCACTTGGCTGGCTTTCCACTTGGGCTCCCTTCCCCCCCCTCGATGTTCTATGTGATGTTTGTTTTGCTGATTCGAGCATAAGTTGCATTCGAAATTGATTGTCATGGCTAATTAAGTGTGTCCTGGTGTGTTCTCTGCCAATAAATTGAGTCGTCCAACGAGCAATTCATTCACACTCCTGCCCCTAAAAGGGGTGTATCTGCAGTCTGTAGTCCTGTACTTCCCCCACCCAATGCTAACGAGAGAACATCGCTCGAGCATCGAGAATAACGAGGGAATCCATCGAACACAGAGAGAGAATGAGAGAGAAACACGGGCTAATGCGCCACTCTGTTGTGGGTGCGTGCGTGTCCTTAGCTGCAGGCACACGGCACACTCTGCCAATTGTCCTGAATGCCATGGGTGCACCATATGCCCGCTTTTGTAGGCCTAATGTCTGTGTTTGTGGGTCCTCGACTTTTCTTTTCACTGCCTTTTCCTTGCCTTTTCAAGGGCAATTAATTTCTCGAGTGACAAATTTTTATAGACATTTCAGTTTAGCTTTTTCTTTCGTTCAGCCGCTGTCCACTCTTACCATTCGCTGCCATTTCCCCCTTTAACGTCTCACTTCTCTCGTTTCCCTTCCCCTTCCCCTGCCCCTGCCCCTGCCCTTCTCTATGTCTCTGTTTTTCGCTCTGTTTTGTGGGCGTTTCTTGCCCGTTTAGCCCGTTCGCAGCCAGAAACGAGCGCACCATAAATTTGTCCACAAATTATCGACAGCAGCGACAGCCTTTCTCTCCCCCCCCCCTCTGTGCCCATTTGTGCGAATGAAATTTAATCGCAAAATATTTGGCTCTCTGACGACAATTGAAACAAGCAAACCTTTAAACAAAAGAACTTGCCGCAAAGCTATCCAAAAAACCAAAAAAAAAAAAACATCTGAGAAAATGTTGAATGTGTGATAAGAAAATCGTTCGTTCATATATGGGAAATTCACAGCAATTAAACCTTATCGAGTGGCGCAATTAAATGTTTTTTTTTATTCATAATGGGTCTTTGAGGGAACATTACAATATATCCGGATTCTATAATCTAGATACACAAATATACTCAGACCGATAAATGATAACTCACAATTTTATTTTGTTTTTACAATCATTTGAAATAAAAACCCAAACGATTTAAATGCAATAATTTAGCCTCAAATCGTTCTAAAATATATTTTTGATAAAGTTATCCGATGCACTTGAATTGCCCGTTTCCTGGCTTTCCTTCCACCCCTAATTTTGGATGAATCCCCCCCCCCCTCAGTTCGACTGTCGGAACGAGTTTGTCGCTGGCTGGGAAATGCGCAATCATTTGATCGGATTAGTTGGGCTTTCTGCCACTGTTGCTCTGTGTTTCAATTTTGGCTGTATATTTTTGAGAGTTTTACATTTCATTTTGTCGCGTGTCGCGAGCGGTGGGCGACAGCCTTATCGTCTGGCGTAACAGGTAAGGCGGCGGCGGATAGGCAGCGAGTGTTATCTGTGCGGATCAGCTGGCACGGCAGGGGGGAGGGAGGAGGGAGTATTGTTGTAAGCTGAAACTGCAATTGTAGCAGGGAGAATACGATTGCGATTGCGATTGCGATTGCGATGCGACATTGTCTCAGCCGGCGAGCAATAGGAAGAGGCAGGACAGGACAATTGTCAACTGTCGCGTGGCCAACCCTTCGATGGCTGATGGTATCTGCAGGACCAGTGCTATACCCTTTTAGTGGCTGCAGGGGGAGGGAGGATGGGGGCAGGCAAATGTAGCAAATCATGGTCATAATCATAATTACATTCGATCAGATAACGGTTCAAACAGTTCGAACAGGCACAGGAGGCGTCGCAATTGCAATTTGAGCTAACGATGAGAGAGGAACACGGACAACCGACCGTGGACCATGGGCCATGCGGACCGCGTACCCCACGGAACCACGGAACCACGGAATCGCTTCATTTACGATCATATTTCATTTTCATCCGACCAGGGGTGCCGGGAGGGGGAGCAGGGGTTGGCTTGGAGCTACGGGACCAGCATGAAAACAAAGCCAAAGAGTGCCCAGGCCAATCCTTTTTACCCCGTTTTTGCGCTTATCGCGATTTACACGCATTATGGCGATGCGATTACACACACATAGAGGCAAAAATAGACCCAAAAAGCGCAGCGAAATTCTAAACCAGAGAGAGTGCAGAGAGAGTGCAGAGAGGAGAGAGATTAATGCACTCAGATAAGCACACAACCGTTATCCAACTGTTGTCCAACCGCTGCAAGAGCGCATGCACAGTTATGCATGCAAATAAAAGCAAAGTGCAAAAGAGACAATAGCAATACACTCATCCTCATCCTCATCCTCATCATTCACTGGCAAACAATACGTCTGTCCCGCTCTGGCCATGGCGCTGCCTCGCCTGTCTGCCTCTACTTTTCGCGTGTTAATTAAGCGATAAAATTAATTTGTGTGTCAACACTTAAAAGCAGAGGGAGAGAGAGAATCATTTTCGATTAATAACACATTTCACATTCGCAGCCTGCTCTCCGCTGCTCTGCTCGTTTTTATTGCTGCTGGTCGCTCAATAAATTCAACAGATTGCGCGAAAAATCTCCACATTTGCATCTCCACTTCGCCGCCATAAGTGCGCGCTTGTCCATGTGTTTGTTTGTGCGTGTGTGCGTGTGTGTGTGAGTGGAGCCATTTGCCTGCTGATTTGTCTGTCTCGCTTTAACTCACTCTCTCTTGCCGCGCTATGCCTCTGCCACTCGCACACATTGCTGGCAATGCGATTAAAAATGCTTTCACGGCAAGTGCATTTCTGCGGTCGCCGGCGCCAAGTGTTGGCAGCGGGGAGGAGGATGGAAATATGAGGGAAGCGCCATATCGCCCTCATTATGCGAATTGTGAAATGCATGGCGAAGTCCTCTTTGAAATTCTTGCGGCTCCCTCAGGGGAACTCGGGCAACGGACGAACGCCCAAGGTGTAGTGTAATGTGTGGAATGTGCAATGGCCAAAATCTGCATTTACCTGTGTTTACAGCGCAATACTCTTACCATCTTATAATGGTAAGGACATTCGCTGATATTTGGAGATAATTTATGCTATCGAATCTTCATTCTTTCCTGCTTTAAAGCTTGTCTTTATGTCTGCAAAGGCACCAAGCGTAAGGTTAGGCTATAATTTATTAAATTGGAAACTTATTTCCATACTTCAAGGTTAATTCAACACTGCAAAAGAACAAACAACAAATTTCTGTATATTTTCATAACAATTTCTTATCGAGAGACTCACCGAAACATTATGTAAATTTCTGGGGCCAGCAAAGGGTTTCGCTGATTGTGTCCCATGTCCCTTCTTCTACCATAAGCACTCGCTGCAAATATATTCATTCGTATAAAGGTTGCACGGGTACTTGCAACAGTCACCTCCTTGACTTCCGCTTTCCCTGCCATTTTCCATTTCCCTTTTTTGGGTGGCCGGCAATTTATGCGTTGTCCTGATAAATGAAGCTTTAATAAATTAAGAGCTACCCTCGATAGGTACAAACATTTTTTTGCACACGGTCTTTTGTGCGCGATAATTTATCTTGTTTGGCGAGATTTTTATTTGGCCCGTTAAATATGCAACATGCCGTTGCATGCAACGCTCGTTCGTCTCGTGGCACCGGCATTCATCGTTCCACATTCAGAGTGCGTGAATAATGCAAGGGATGTCGATTTATTTTATTCCAAAAGCGATAATAACAATTTGCACACACAAAAAATGCAGCAAACAAAAAACGGCATCATTTTCAGTGCCGTTTTGATGGGAAATCGTTTAAAATTTAAAAGCCGCTTCTGTTCTCATCCTTTGCTGCCTGTCCTGTCATCACTTCATCACTTGCTTTTTTATCCGGGCATTTTGGTTTTTGTTGCTGCTGTCTTCCTGTTCGTCTGTTGTGCTCTTTTTGGGTCGCCCTGCCCCTGTTCCTGCTCCTGTTCTCTGTCCTGTTGATAAATCGTAGTTTAAACGCTTTTACTCCAGTTTTAGGGGCTTTCGTTTAGTTTTCCGCTTGCGCTCGTCTCTTTTTTTTTGTTTATTAGATGAGCCATTTAGCCTCCACGACTCGTGACTTTTGCACGAAAGAATGGGGCGGAGGAGCCAACTAATTGTTTGTTTCTGCATCCCGGCACAAGGATGATTGATGAGGATCTCTGGTTGCCCAACAGTTTAGTCGTTTTTTTTGTGGGGAAACTTAGATTTGTTTGCTTTCTTTTGGCAAGTGATTTAACAGGGCAATGCAAAGGAATGCTTGAGGTGGATACCATACCATAATCCTCATCTAAACTAGGGTTATACAGTTTCCAATCGCAGCTCCAACTCGCATTTAGTGCCAAATAAACAGGTGACAAATGTGTACAATCCCATAGAAAATGGCAAACTTTATGTCCTGCCAGAAAGAAAACACTGAAAATCCATTAGAATTGGCTCCGAACGGGGATAACAAAAAGGGACCAGATCCAGATCCAGATCCATCCCTGGGCCTATAATTAGTGGACGGAGTGCCTGTGTCCCACAGATGGAGAGAGAGGAGAGGGGTTCAGTGCGTAAGTCTGGCATGATATCCCACACAGATTGGACATTGAGCCGGGCTATCGAGCGCTGTCCTCTGTCCTCTGTCTCTGATCCTTTACACACAGGTTGCACGGCAGGGAAAGGGAAGTTATTAACCTGAAAAACGGGATAATAAGGGATGATCATAACTTTTACATGTGCCCAGCATGGGGTGGGGCGGGCTGCCTTCCAAAAGGGGGCGATGGAACTGCCGCTGCTGCTGGTTGCATTAAAATTAATTTCTGATTATCTATTTGGCTGGGCACACACACACACACACACACACACACAGCTTTCTGGCTTCCTGCTCATCCTCAGTTTTAGTTTTGGCTTTGAGGAAAACAAATGCACATATGTTGGGTGGGAAAGCACTCGTCCTTGACGCTGTGTAGTGGCAAGTGGCAGCATTCTGGTCTACGTTTCTTGTACCCAGTAGTCCTTTCAATAGAGGGGTATATTCTCTTTGTGCAAGCTAATGTAACAAGCAGAGGGGAGCATCTGACGCACAATTAATTTGTTTGTCTTTGTGCAAGAACAAACAGAAAAGAAAGAAGCGAAGGAATTGCACAATTTGATGGCCAAAATATGACCTACAGCCAGAGTGGCAATCGATTGTACTACTGGGTATCCTTTTAGTTTATCAACCATAGCCCGAGATTGGGTTGTTTTGTTTTAACTTTTGGTGGATGAACCACACGGCTCAGGTTTTCATGGAATATACAATTCGGTTATTATTATTACTTTTGCGTGTATCTCTGGCGAGCTGCCACCGGGTGATGAATGATGCCCCTCCACGGCCCACTCTCAGCACAGAGAATACCAACCCCTGCTGCGAGATCTCGCACCCATATGCCGTGTTTCTTTTTTTGCTTGTCTCCCAGCTAATTCAGCGGATGAGTGTTGGATTACGGTTACGAGGATGGACGAGTGCAACCCGCTTTAATCATTTTTAAATTAGAGAACTATGCGCCTTTTTGTTGTGCCACCACCCACCACGCACCCGCTGCACCCCTCCCTTCTTCACTCGTTTGTTTATCTATTTGCTTCGAGAGGTTTCCCGCCAGCGCTTCTTTGTCCAAGGAAATTGCAGCAGATTGGCCAACGTTGCACTTGCGGTTCTCTCTCACTCTTCCACATGGCATGATTTCGGAACTGCCACTGACACCCTACCCTACCCCTGCTCGAAAACACACGCCTCACTTCACTTCACAACAAACAAATAGAAAACACACACAACAACAAATTCAAGTGGAGTTTTCTTTGGACAAATACAAATACTACCTACACCAGCCAGCCAGCCAGCCAGCCAGATATTATCCTTGCAGCGAACGAGAGGTAAAAATTGTGGACATTGTCAATATTTGCATTTGCATGTCCCCCATATGTCGATTTGAGCCAGCAAGCAGTTCGAGTCGCCTCGAGTTGGCTCTGTAATTAGCATTTATGTGTGTGTTGTCTTTGGCCCAAATGATAGCTGATTCCGCGCGGGGGGAGGTCACAAGTGGGGTGGGCAGTGCCGCGGTGGTGGTGTCGATAGCTGGGGGTTAATAACGGGGTCACACAGGGATTACGATTACCCACGAAATTTTCTAGGCTTGGAGAGGGAAAAGTAAAGGGAAGCCAAGCAAAACAATGAGGAAACCCCTCAAAGATTCCCCTTCTAAGGGCATATTTTAATTCATATTTTTATGGAATGTTTTACTGTAATCATTTATTTTTGCCATCTAATTGCAGGCCATCATCTATGAGGGTCAGGACAAGAATCCAGAGATGTGTCGCGTCCTATTGACGCACGAAGTCATGTGCAGGTGAGAGTCCTTCTCCATGACTATGCTCATCCCCATGCCACTTTTATTATCTATCTATAAGACTGCCTGCCTCCCCTCGAACCATTGTAATCCACACCTTTTGATTTCTGATTTGAGAATCGAAATCTCAATTCTCGCGGGCATTCGGCCAGTGAGTGTCTCCCTGGAGCTTTCACTATGCCTCTCTCTCTCTCTCTCTCTCTCTCTTTACTCTTAGAGCCACTCAAATTATAGACTTGCTGAATTCTCATTTGCTTTTTATTTTATTTTTTTCTCACATTTTTCGCGTGATTTTCTTTGCGGGTTTCATCTTGGGCTTTAATTTTGTTGATTTTTGAGCTTCGGTTTTCTGGTGTCCTTTCCTTTTATTTTCATGCTCAAACGCACGCGAACTGAAACGTATAAATGGTGGACTAGCGCCCAACCCAACCCCCCCGTATCACCTCTTTTGGGTTGTGCTTTCACCCTTCTAGCAGCCTCTGACAGTTGAAGGTTGCGTAGGAAATAAAAACGGCACAGCAGACAAGGGAAAAAAGGAAGACAACACCAAAAAAAAAAACAGAGAAAACTGAGGGAAAGCCAAACAGCAACAAAAATTACACAGCTTTAGCCGGTACATTCTCCCCCCTCTGTCAGAGCATCCCCTGCACTCCCGCTGGCCGGCCATCTTTTATTATTTCGGATTGGCACCCAGTTTTTATGTTTGCGTAGCATTATCAAAAACAAGGGGACAACGCACACAACGCCACAGAAACACGGCCAGGGGTTGCAGCCTCCCCCCATCTCCACATGGCTAGGTTTGGGCTGTGGGGGTGGCGTCGTCTTCTTTATCGTTTTGGCTTTTCGCCCATTTCAGTCATCCATGTTTATGTTATATGCCCCGGCCAGAGCCAGAAGCTGGTCAGATTCGAGCCAAAAAGGATGACCCTCACTCAATTCAGTGGCCACCCCCGAAGCCCCCCGAAGCTTAAAGCCAGCCCAGCGGCTGTGCAGTCAAAAATGTACGCAGCCATTCAGCCCGATATAGATATACTCAGACTCAGACGAGAACAGGCACAGATATAGATATAGATATACATTGACTGACCCCAAAAAAAGAGACAAACAGTTGAGAGAGTTGAGAGACTTCTAACACACTTTTAGAAGCTGCGGGTAGTTGTTGGAACAAGTGGGTTAAGGCAGGAGCCTTAAAAATTGGATGAATATTTAGCTGCAAAATATGTTAAAGTTGCTTATAAATCGAACTTAGTGAAACCTTTTAAAGCAGCACAATTTCGTTTACATTTTTCTCTTTTAATTCATTATTTACAATCCTCGCCTTTATTAAAGGTAAATTAAAGTTGTTTTTTGTGACTTTTCCACTTCCATAGTCGCTGCTGTGATAAGAAGAGCTGTGGCAACCGCAACGAGACGCCATCGGACCCCGTCATTATTGATCGGTAAGTAGCCATAGTTCATGTAGCCATTCAGCCAACCAGTACTGGCTGCTGGCAGCTCCTCTGCCACACAAAAGATGACATTTTAAGCTGCTTTTCATCATCGTCGCTGGCTTTTTATTTTTGTCAGGCCAGAGCTCTGTGTATGCGTATCGTTGATTTATTGGCATTATTATCAACTGCAATATAAACCATGATGCGGCAGACATGCAAAGGGGACACACAGAGTGGCAAACAGTGGCTGGAGCTGGGGCACATGAGCTATCCCTGGGAATGGAAATGTGGCTGCAGCTCAGAGAGGCCAAAACAAAAATTCATCAAAATGTGAAAAGCAAATTCTATTTTCATAAATTTTGTAAATTGAGACGAGTTTGCGGCAATCCGACACCCACCAACCGCCCCTTTTGAGGCACTTCCCTGCCTGCCAGTGGTACCACAACCCTCAAGTGGCTGTCGCGTGTCAGGCGAATTATGTTAATTGCAAGCACATCCTTGTGGCAGCCACGCCTCCGCCTGCCACCGTTGCTGCTGCTCCTGCTGCTCCTCTGACAACTGCCGGCTGCCTGGGAGTGCGCCGCCTCTAATTGGCTTCGGAAATATTTTGTTATTGCAAAGGAAATTAGGAAAAACCAAAATGAAAAACAAATTGTTATGGGAGCTTATGATTAAGCCAAAGGAGTGGGTAAAATAAAATAGTATTCAGCATTCATTCACCTCCGTACCTTTCTCCACAGCAATTCAAAATGTTCCTCAAACGAGACCCATTGATTGCGAATGAAATTATCTTAGACCATTATTGGCCATCGCCTCATTGAGTTGTTAAACAATTTTCCAGTCCCCAGGCCCCATTAAAGTGCAGGACACACCTTATGCAGATGATAATGATCTCAATCGAACTCCAGCCATCATCATCACTGGTGGTCTGTCCTCCACCGATGGGTGTCCTAAAGTATTTGCCTAAAGGGCCACACATTTGTGTACCCAGCTTCAGCTTTAGCTTCAGTTTAATTTCCAGTTCTAGTTGCAGCTCCAATTGCTCCAGCCCAGGTCTGTGGGACTGCCCACAGAGGTATTCTCCGAACCGAGACGAGATACCAGCTTGAGTTGGGCACGAGAGTCTGCTTAATGATTCTATTATTAATGTGGATAGCAAAAGTGTCTAGGACCGGCTACAGGTTGGCCGGCAATCAGGCCATAATTGGTGTCATAATTAAATTTAATTGATTGCCTCCTCGGACCCCACCTCCACCTTGCTCTCAAAACTCCGAGTATCAGTTTGCAAATTAGGAAATGGTCAGCCCGAGTGGAAGCTGCAGAAAAACCAAACCAAACTCGCAACAAGAACAACTCTTGCTACACAAAGATACTGAGATAGTTAGATACGAGTAGAAGTGATCTCGGCGAGATCAGAGATCGCTTCGCGCCTTTGCACATTTATGATCTTGTTAAAATTGCTTTGCGTGGCAACGTGTGCTCCAGAATGGAGCCAAATGCCAATGTCATCCGTTGGAATAACAGTTACACTCACAACTGATCTACAGTGCCAGTCCCAATACCAGCCCCAGCACTGGGTCTTGCCTCCACGTGCCCAGGTGCGACACTTTGCGCTTGATATTTACGATTATTAATTCATTTCTTCTCTATTTATTTGCCTTGTTAGCCAGGCTGCTGAGGAGGCAGCAGAGGCCTCCTCTGAGCCACATCAAATTGGTTAATCCCCTGCCAAGAGATGACAGCGTGAGGACACCAGCAAAATAGAAAGGGAGAGCTGGGGCTGCGGTTAGAGTCGGGATCGTGTTTGGATTGGTTTTAGCATTATGGTGGGGAAGAAGTATTGTTGTAATGGATCAAAAATCTTTAATTGTTGATATTCTCATATTATTATTTTGATAAGCAAAATTGACATTTAGGTTGTAGATCTCAAACGCTTTAGTGTCACGCACGCATCTCTAGTTCTCTCTCGCTGCACATGTCGCATTTGTCAGGTCGGGCTGTAACTTTTGTCGGCATTCCACAAGCCGAAGAGGACGCTGAAGCTGTGGCAGAAACAGTAGCAGCAGCAACAGGACACAGGCGCATATCAATCACTAGCTGAAAACACTCCCAGCTCCAATCAGCTTAAAAGGCGGCATGGATCAGTCAAACCAGCCATGAGCCACCGCCTCGCCCCGCCCCGCCCCGCCCATCCTCACTATTCTCACCCAACGTGGGCCTGTGGCCTGCTCATTGATATGCCAGTAGATCATGCCGCCAGCAGAAAGACAAAGACTCCCGGATAATCTATGTGTTCGCAACTAAATTTTGCCATGGCCCCACAGGCGAGGAGTGGCAGAGCAGAAGCAGGAGCAGGAGCAGAGAAGCCTTAAAGCGCTAACTCTGCCGGAGGTCCAGCACATTTTGCCACTCAAGCAAGCGTTCACCTCGCACTGCTACTGCCACTGCTGGCACTGCCTCTCTGTCCCGCTCCCGCTCCCACTCCTGGTCTTCCCTCTTTGGGAAACTTTGTCAGCAGCGCGCAACAATTGGAACTGATTGAAAATTCCACAACGGGGTAGCCGCCAGCGGGATGAGGTAGTGGCTTTGCTGTGGAGGGACATGCTTGCATTTCAAAGTGGTTGACGAAAGCCAAAAACTGATACGATATGACAAGAGCAGCAACAGCAACAGCAGCAGCGGCTACAGTAACTGTAGCCAGGGGGACGGGAGGGGGGCTCTCTGCAGTAGCAGTCTCTGGGACAACAGCACGTCAATTCCAACTTGGACTCGCTCTCTCTATAGCTGTCCCGCTCGCGCAAGCTCTCTTCCTGCTTCGCAAACAGACGGCTGACTGACGTTCGAACGTGTGCCGTGAGAGTAGGCGCGACTGAGACTGTAACTGCGCGACTACCTACGACTGTGAGTTCGCTGCTCTGCTCTGCTCGGAGATCTGCGCACATGTTTTATTGATGAATCTCTGTTATTCATGCAAGAGATCTGCGGGGTGGTGCAGGCGGTGGAGGTGGATGCTTTGGAGATGCCGAAATTGTGCACACAATGACCACCGGGCACAGTGGGCAAAATTTTGCCAAAGAAGTATTCAAATTCTATGACAGATTGAGTATTACATCTCACATATGTATTTATGTCTCTGATATGTGCGATATTTCGCTTATTACATTTGATGTAACCGCACTTGTAGTTTTCCTCCAATCCGACCCACTGTGCACATAGATCGTTGTGGATTTGCAATTACCCAGGGCAGGTGAGGAGGGGAGAGTGCTTTGTTTGCCGCTTTGTCTCGGTTCCGCTCTCTTCCGCACTTGCTCTCTTTCTGCTACCTACCTCGTTTATTTATGATTTGCTAGGGGGGTACACACACACACCAACACACTCGCTCTCGAGCATTGTCTTCGCATTTCGTTTTTGTTGCTGTTTTTTTATGATCCCGCCCCCCATTCCCGCGCCCTCTTCAACTTATGTTGGTATGCACTTCGTGTGTGTTCCATAATTAAGTGAATTTAAAGCTCACTTCGGCGGTGGTCGGCAGCGATCGTACTTTTGGTCGTTGCTCTGCTCTTGTTCTGCTTGTTGGCGAGGTATTCGTGTTGTTGGTTCTGCGACATGTTCCACGTTTTTGTCACACATTTTTGACGGGACGGAGACTGGCCCTGTGGCTGTGCCTGTTCCTTTACTGTGTGTTCCCAGTGTTTTCGCTCTGTTCTTCTGTTGTTTCATGTTCCATTTGCTGGAAATCATTTTTTGTTTCTTTGTGTTTTGTTTTTTTGGTGGCGAATGCCCACCATCTGGCGTATGCGTAATGACGTGAATGATATTGACAGGCATGCAATTGGCCTTGTTATCAGCGATGGCCATTAAAATCGTTATCGCGTGACCGAAGCCCGCGTTCGACTTTTTAATTTGAGTAAATTGTGCTCTTCCCCTCCCTCCCACACGCTATCACACTCATCGCAATGAAACAAAAAAACAGCAACAGCCACTCAAACACCCATCTGCATAGCCAAACAAACTGTAAAAGAAAAACAGAGCAAAAGAGAACACAGAGACTAGCTGTATGCGCCGAAGCTTCTGATACCCTACGAGATGGATCGCTCATATGGTGGATGGACAATTCTTGAAGTGCATATAGAGTAGGATCTATGCATGGTTTAAATATGTACAATTTGATTTATTTTTTCCGTATAAGAGGGTATCAATAGATACACATAGATAGATCACATAGATAGAAAGGAAAGGGCAACTACAATGAGTGACTAAAAGCTCTCAAGCGAACAATCGAAAATTTGCCACTCTTGCATTTATCTACGTCATTGGCATTTTCTTCGCTTTATTTCAATTTTCTATATTGTCCGCCATCGTCCACCAAATAAACTAAGTGCCAACTCCCCCACTACACGGCATACGCTCACTCACTCCACCTATACAACGAATGGAATTGACATTTTGTGGTGTCCAATATGCAAAAACTCACAGGCGAAATGTTGAACACTGGAGGGCCAGTAGAGCGTGTCCACTTCGAGGAACATATTCCAGCCCACAAATCTTTTGCAAGTTTATATTTTTTGTAACACACATTCAAACATATCCCACTCGCTTACTTTACATAATGAAAGTTATGAACTGAGTGCCAATTATTATAAATATCCCTTGACTAATCTCAGCCATTGCCTGTCCCAATATTTGTCTACACTTCTGTCTCGGCATTGTGGGCTGCGTGAGGCGAACAAATGTTTTGGGCCATTCATTGCATGCCGTGGATAATCGGGCAATCGCGCTAAAAATGATGACAAAACTGCGCTGCTAGTTGCTGGCTACAGTTTTTAATTTTCTAAATGCATTCCACCTGGAGAGTGGGTTAGGGTGGAGATCCAGAGTAGTTGGGTGGGCCATTGTGGGTGTTGGGGATGCCAGCCAGTGCTGGCGTGGATGAGCGACGAGTGAGGTAAGGCAGGGACAGAGGCAGAGGACGTTTTGTCCTGCTCAAATATTCAAAGCGACGCAAAAAA